AAAAAAGAGGTGAAACAATAGGATCATGATCACTTGCATATGCACTACCTAGATTCAAGTGTTTATATTTGGGGCAATTCCAGACTTAATCTGTCATTGCACATACTTTTTACAAAGAACATCTGTCTTGCTTAGAACTCGCTTCCCATCAATGAGGCAAAAATGTCTACTTAGCCCTCCATTCTCTCCTTTTTCTATGGCTTCTTTTGGCTTAGAGGCTTTAAATTTTCTCCTTCCCACTACTGGGGACCTTCAGGCTCCAGGAGAATCCTTGCCAAAGTCATTCTGAGGCTCCTAATTGCTTTGGTGGAGCTGGTACAGAAGTGGGGAGAAGGAGATGGGAAACCAGATCGAAAGCAATGCTACTGGGAAGTCTTAGCTCTCAGGGCCAGAGGTGCAGCAAATTCAGCATGAATTATTCCCTAGAAACAACATTCTAAGTGACTGCAGAAGGTTCCAGCGTGCTTCTGTGGCTTGGTACATGGTTTCCTTGTGAAAATATATCAAGCTCTAAGCAACCAATTTACAGTTGAATTTTTAGAGCATAACTTACTTGTATTGTAGAAGGCCAGCATTATAGATTATTTAGATTAGTACACAAAATTACTGTCTTCTCTATGAAACTTGTTTTCACTCAGCATGGTCATGATACTTCACAGGCAAATTTTTAAAACAAAGACAAGTTAAAGCCTGTAGCATTTTAATTTTTATTTCATAACTATCTCAATTCAAGTTTTTATTTCTTTCTTTCTGTTGTCTTATCGCACACATCATTAAGGGGATATAGGTTTGGGAAATCCACATCCAAATACATTTAGGATTTCACCCAGAACATATTTGTTTTTTTTATGATAACTTAATCAAAAAACAGCTAAAGGAAAATCCATTTCCTTTTAGCTCTTTTACCTTTTAACTTTAGTCTTCTAACTCATGTTCATTTCAGGGTGCCTATTTATGATACTAAAGTGTTAATTTTATATTCAAGTTATTCAAGGTCTCCACACTCATGGAGTTTACAGTTTAGCAATTGATAGACATGAGATATATTACTACTAAAGCATAATATAAATATAAAAGTGTTTTAATTGAAAGCACAAGAATTTTAGTTGTATACCTTTAGTTGTATTTGTTCATGAAAAAGAATGAATGTGTGCATGAGTGAATAAACTAGAGCTTTGTGTAAAGGAGTAGTGAGATGGCTAATGCTGAATCCTTCCCATCAACTTGAACTTCTGAATGACAGGCTCTTCTGGGTTTAGGAGAATCAGGAGTATTTCTTTGCCCCTTCCTACTGTTTCCTGGTGTGCTGCTCCCAAGAATCCCCTACTTGCCCCTTTCACATGGAGTTGCCAGGGGGAAGACTAGCTGCTTCTGCTTAGATTTTCTGCAGCTATGGCTCCCATATCCAATTCTGGCACCCTCTTCCCACCTTTTGTATACTCAGGGAGTGGGATGGCTTGCATACATGCCTTGCTCCAGTCTTGTGTCAGACACCACCCTTGTCTCAAGCCCTGTTTCAGTGCCATCTGCTTGGGGAAATGGAGGATAATAGTAAGAGATCCTACTTACTGAGTGCCTGCTGTGAGCTAAGCATTTACAGGTTTGATTTCAAATTCTCACAGATCCTGTAAGGACAGTATTAGACCCATTTTTACAGATCTGAAAAGCTCAGAAAAATTAAGAAACCTTGCCAAGGTTATCTGATGCAGAATTTATTATATTTGGGCCTTCCGCCTCTTTGCTGTCAGTGGAAGACAATTCTCTTTCCTCAGAGAAATATGTTCACATCTTCTTTGATTGACTCTCCTCTTTCCATAATAGCCCTCCCTGGAGAGCTGCTCTCCTACTCTCATCCCGGGCTGATGTCTTGAATTTCCCACAGTGATTTGACCCTTACATTAAATTTCCTGGCTTCTTGTCCATTAGACTCAACTGATATCTTAAAATATCTGATTAGTTCTTAATAGTGTTGGCAGGTTAGAATCATATTTTTTAAAAGGAAAGTATATGTAAACATAACTTTCTGAATTCACTCATTGAGAGAACATATTTTTCCCATGTTATATAGACAAACTGGACAATGAAATGACCACCTGTTAGCTGCTAATGATGTTCACATGCCTTTTAAAAAAGTAATTCTGGCTTTATCTATCTACAATCTTGGCGGCAAAACTTATGGGAACATCAAGGAAACAGGAAGCCAAAGGCAGAAAACTGACAATAAAGTTTGTGCTTAGACTACTAATAAGGAAGAGGACACTGTGAGTCTCTGATTCTACATAATTATTTAATCTCCAGAGGGTGACATAAAACTGAATGCATGTTTTAAGAAACCCAAATTTGGGTGTTCAAATCTAGGACTGAGATCAGAGGGGTTTCACACAGATTTCCTACTTGAAAAAAATATTTTAAAAAGCATCACATATAAAATATGTCAATCACTGTTGCATGGTCTAATTTGATATTGTGTGGGTGGGTCAATCATTATACCTTTCAAATGAAAATGAATACATACATATTGAATGAAGTTAATTCAAAGTAATAGATGGATATTAACTGTGCCCTACATTGCAAAAAACATAGTGGCCCTAAAGAAAAGGCTTATAACTATACACACTCACCAAGATACAGAAAAGAAGCATTTTCTAAAATTAGAGCTAGTATTGAAGATTAAATTATTATTTTAATAGTGAAATCAAAATTGAAATAAAACACCCAGTTTTAATTGTTTTTGTCAGTAAGTGTTTGGGTCCTGACTTAAGTTTACTGATTTCTATTAATTTTATTTTTAACATACTATTTCTATCCAAGTCTAAGGTTGATATAAACTAAGTATACCTTTTACTTGTTCACTTTATTATAGTGTCATAGTTAAAAGTACAGGCTCTAAAATAAGACTGTTTGGGTTTGAAACATGTCTCCATAACTTGTTTTTGTACAAATTTTCTTAGTTCTTCATGTCTCAGTTTTCTCATCTATAAAATAGGGTTACTAATAGTATCTACCTCACAGGGTTGGTAAGAGGATTAAATGTAGCAGTCTAAGGCAAGCACTTAAAACAGTGCCTGGTGCACAGTAAATATTTTTACATTTTCTAGCTATTTTTTTTAACTTCAAAATAAAAGATGAGTATGAAGTCATTGTACAATTAGCTACATTTTGAAATGAATAGAATAAATCATGTATCTCTTCCCTTGTTTTTAAGTAGAATTGAATTTAAGCTCAAAGTAGAAAAACAATTGTCTTTCACAATTAAAAATAAATTCCAAAAAAAAGTAGTGAGTGTTCTGTCTGTAAGATTCTTTTTCAGCAGTATCTTAAAACTTTTAAAGTGACTGTTACTCAACACAGAATTCATTATCCTCAATGTTTCTCAAATACATTTTTGCAAACCGTTATTTTCTCCATAGCTTCAGGTTTTAGAAACGTGTTAAAGTCTCCTCCAAACCAGCAATTATATCTAAGATTCCAGATTTACCAGTCATTGCATCACAAATTTTTTTATATGTACTACAAAATGTTTATATAATCAACACTAAATATATATCCCCAATTGAATCCCAATTCTGAAATCTTAGCTTATGTCTCAAACCATATGAAGTAAAAGACGACAATGATCAGGAATGGAAGGAAAACGTTCTTTAAAAGAAATAACTCTAAACTGTACCATTATATGAAAAAGTCTTTTAAAATGGCATTGTTAACTCTCCGTAAACACACCACGCATCTTCTAGACATTAACATTGTTAATCTTAAATTCCAACTTGCACAACTAGCTAAGTAAATGTATCTAGCAGTTGTTGAAAATTATGGCATGGGTTTTTGCATAAAGACTTAATTTCAAAAGGGTGCTTCTACTCTTAAGTTCTCATGCAATTTCTAGATTTGTAGACTTCAGTAATTCCGCTTTGGAAAATGTGTTATCACATATAAATAGCTTCTCTCTTCTCTATCATATGTGTATGAGTGTTTGTGTGCATGTATGTGCATACATATACATATATATCTTTCTTAATGCACAGATATATGTATATGTACACAAATAATTATCTAGCATAAATAAGTGTGTGTGTGTGTGTGTGTGTGTGTGTGTGTGTGTGTGTGTGTCTGTGTACACTCCATTAGCAGCTCTTCTCAACTTACTGAGTGCTCCTTAAATTCAAAAATTTAGGATGTCAGTATACTGATCTTTGGACATAGGGAAAAAATGGTGATTCTCAAGATTGGGGTCAGCTAGGTAGAAGAACCCCCAAAATACTGTAATTTTTAAGATCTTGGAAAATAGGTTATCTCTGGTTCCAAAGATGTCTTCTTCTTCTTTTGGGAGGTTGAGACTCAAAGCAACTTTATGAGATAGGTGTGACATATTTTATAACCCCTTTTCATTGAGGAAAAAGCAGTCTCAGGAACAGTTAAGAATGATACTTAAGATCATTATGTAAGTAGTGAGACCACTCTTTTTACTCTAAATTCAATTCTTTTAGAGTATTAGAACTAGGTTTGACCTTGGAGAACATCTAATTCATATCCCACATTTTCAGCCTCTCTGAAAGCATGTTTCTAAATCTTTCTGGTGGTCTGTAGGTATGGAAAGTGGCCTAGCCTGTTGACTTAAGTTAGACCAATGCTAGTGATCACTCATATCCTTTAATGTATGAAAATAAAATAGTCAAGATACCAAGGTTGGAGACGCTTGACATTTCCCACTCTCAAAATCAATCACCGATCTGAACACCATGGCTATTACTCAGAGATTCAGAGGTTTGCTGTAAGCAGAGACCATGACCTTGGAACAATTATTTTCTCAAAAGGCATTACTAACAATGATGTGAGCAAAGTGCCCAGACTGCCCTCCAGTGCATGAATCCCTGTCCAGGAAATGGCTACGAATCTTCTACGAGTACGATGAGTTTGGCTTAAATCTCATTTCAAAGCATTTATATTTCATAAGCACTGCATTTAGACAAACTTAAAATGAGCAAGTCAAAGAAAATACTCACTTAAAGATTTTCTGTGCTCTGGTTTCTGTTCTTTTATATCACTGTCGCAGTGACTTAGCAATTCAGTGCTGGAAGATCTTTGGATTTTGAATAATTCCAGGTTTCTTGATGGACAACTTGAATCCTTTGGCTGGAAACAGCAAATAATTAGACTAAATAATTTTACCAGAAATAAAGGATTCACCATATAGTTTTGTGGTCTATTTTGGTGTTTTTGGGGAAATTTGAAGTAAGGAATTTATTTGGGGATAGGTCCTCTATGCTGAGCTCAATACTCTAATAATAGTTTATATATGTATATGGTGCTTGCTAAATGCTAAGCAGTATACATGCATAATTCAATTAATCATTACAACAATTCTATAGAGTAGGTGGTATTATTATTATCTTTATTTTCCTCATTAGGAAAATGAGGCCAAGATAGGTAAGCAATTTGGCTAAGCCCATGCAGGTGGCAAATAACCATAATTCAAACTCCAGCAGTCTGGTCCCAGAGTCCACCCTCAATGACAACAAACTGTGTGCACTTGTGTGTATGTATGTATGTGCACTCACACACATTCACACACACACCCCTTTAAGGGGAGTTTACTGATAATGGGAAAAGTTAATTTGTTATTTTACTTTTTAAAGTGTTAGTCCCCAAATGAATACAATGAAAGCCTGTAATTAAGTATCAAGAAAATCACACAGAAAATCTTTTACTATCCTATTGTGTTCCACATTAAGAACAACTTTTTCTCAAAATTTTGCAAATATTAGTTTTCTAAAATTAAATGTTCTAGAGTCTCAGTATGAAATGAGTGGTTTTAAATAAGTTCACTCTTAAAAAACATACTCTGAATGTATGTTTTAGAATAATTTCGTGAAGTTCTAGATATGTAATTTTCATGAGAAGAACAATCTAGCTTAGCTGGAAGAATAATAAAAATCAGTACGAAGGGTTATTATTTATTGGTATTATAACAGTGAGTGTGGTCTTAAATACATTGATATTTATTTTCAGGAATTTGCACTATGGACTGTATAAACTGAAAATGAAAAAATTCAGTAGTTATTAAGTGCTTGTGTGCTTTTTACAGCCTCCAGTAAATGAATGTCTGTGTTATTTTAGAAAAAAAAGTAAGAATGCACTACATTTTTGAAAGAGAGAAATTAAATGACATTTAGTTCTACAAATCTTGTCTGATGAAAAGGTTTTTAGTGGATTCTATTTAAACTAAAAGAACTTAAATTCTCTCAGTCCATAGGATCTATTTAAATGTGTGTGTGTTATATGCCTGAGCATTAAGATTTAAATGACTACATTTTAATTAATAAAGGTAACAGCCAAAATAAATACATACCAATCTGTCAATTGCATTTTTGATAGCGTGGAACCAATCCAATATGATGAAGTCAATATCTGACTGTAGAAGGAACTCATTTCCTGATACTGTTGTGATCTGAAAAACAAAAAATCGACAGGTAAAGAAATTATGTAAGATAAATCTCTTAGATGTAAAAATCGGTTTTTAAAAAACACAGTTTAATACACTGAAATATTTTCTTGTATTCCAGTAATTGTCTTTCTGGGAACTGGGAGCATTTTGAACTGCTCTCTCCAAACAGTTTTTTCATGTCATAACAAATACATTATTGTTTTAATAATAGAACGATTAAGTCAGAGTAGGGCTAAAGCTGAATTACTCCAACTTAAGGAGAAATAAGCCAGGAAGTTCAGAGAACTGCAGACAGTACACACTTAAGTCAGAACCCGCAGAAAAAATGCACCCGGGTGTGTCAGAATTCATTCTGCACGTTTGCCTCTTTCCTGTCTGTCTTTTCAAATCTAATAGTATCTCTATATTCGATTTCCTTTTATGGAGGGCTCTAAAACAGATTATTTACCAAAAAGTCTAATTGCAGACTTCCAAAAGGTCATTCAGATGAATAACATTTGATTATTTCTACTTTCTTATCAGAGATCTATAGGAAAGTAATAATAATAATAATAATAATAATAAACAATTTTCCCACAAAAGAAGTATATTAAAATAAAAGTTCGTTTATATATTTGAACCTCTCTGGGAGAGTATTTATCAAATGAACATCCAGGTTCCTGACTCTCAGCACTGCTAAGTAGTTGGCAGTGTTTAATGTGTAACTGTGTATTTTTCATTACAGTGAATCTTTTTCTCCTCAGACTTGTGAGAAAAGGATATGACCCTATAGAAACAGAGAAATAGTCTAAGTTTCACACATAAAGGGCTACTTAGAGAAAAAATTGATTACAGTGGGTTTGGACACACTTTTTGTATTTGGCCATCAATCTGAACTGTGAAGATTTTCCCTTTGTATTACTGACTTTTTCTTGCAACAGGAAGATGAACATTTCCCAACTACTGTCACACGGAGTTCAGAGGTTTAGAGGACTGACATTTCAAAATACTCAATCAGGAGCCAGTCACCTCTTCTCAGCCTTCCTGGCTCTAAACAGGAGGTGAACACTGAAATGTGGCACAGGTTCAGAAAATCACAAATCATGCTTTAGGCCATCTCTATAATTCTGTCATTAAAGTGACAATTATTACCCCAAATGGCTCATTCTGAAGGTTTCAAGGATTCCTATGGCAGCATTTAATGACAATGATTTTGGGGTTTCTAAAGAAATCTGTTACATATTTGCACATATATTCGTCATTTGTTTTTAGAAAAACTATTTAGAGATTCAACATTAATCAGTACTGCAAAGCAACCATTGTTGATTGAGATGGGCTCCAATATCAAGTGTGGTCTCTAAAACTGTAAGGAGAGGAACTTTCTAAAGTGTATGCAATTATAAGAATTGAAAGATTGAAAAATAATAGGATTTAATTGCCCACACTAGAATTTGACAGATCACTGGGGCCAATCATTTTTTCTCTCTCTTTTTAAAATGATACTGCATATAAGATTTAGGATGGCTCAAAACAGTCTTCTGTTTTATGTATTCAGTAAAAGACAGCTATGGTGATGTTTGCCTAATTATCTGAACGCCATTGCAATGTTCTCTACTCAGATAAAGTTCCAAATGTTTACTTTATAGAGTGTGGCCTCAGAAATTATAATCTAAAAATATAAGATCATTTCTAACTAACACAAGATAACTAGTAATGTCCTTGACCTCTACCTTCATCCTAATCTGTAGTTAAATATTTTGATTATGAATATATTTCTAACATCGTAATTTGTAAACATACACAAAGACAAATGAATTAGCCAAAGCACAATGTACAATGTAATATTTCTCTGCCAGTATAAATAAACCATTATTAAAATTCTAAAAAGAAACAACATTTAAAAAGTACGAGAAACAAACATAATTAGATTTACTATATTATGAGGGTTTACGAAAGAGCCAACATAGTTCAGCTTTCAGTCTAGTAAATTCAAACAGTGATAAAATATAAGTACTTTAGCAGTGCATTTGCATTTTTGGTGCATGCTATGCAATGCAAAGGGGATCTTATATTGCTAACACAACCAAAAGCAAAATGTATTATAAAAGTTCCTTTGTCCAAATATATTACTGCATTAATCATACATAATCAGTGATTTACGAATTCATTTTGAGAAGCTAGATCAGAGAGCTATATAAATGCAATTCATTCAAAACATGCTATCAGAGAGATACAGTTCACATCCTTTCCTCTGTCTTCCCACTAATCTTTCAAGTTACCAGGCAGTCTGGAGAAGTCTGCTACTGCTCTCTACAGTTTAAATGCATCCACTTCTTAATTACAGTCAGTAATTGACTTTGTTCTGCTCTATTCCAGTCACTCACAAAAAAAAGTAGTTTCAAAATCTTGACTGGTAAAGCCCATTTAATTCAGGTTCCTCAATTCACTTTTTTACTTTACTTCTTTAGGATTTCTGATAAATGGTTTGCTGAATCATATTTGCACTTTGAACAATCGAATTTTCAACACTCTTGGGGAAAAAAGACATCAGTAAAGAATGTTAGCTTTGACTAAACCTTTTGATTGAACAACTTATGATGACAATCTAAAGTAATGTATAACAGAGATAAAGGCTTTGATATTAAGCTGTGCTAATGTATTCTTTCTATATCATGTTTTGCCTCCGTGACAGATGCTAGGGTGAGGGGATGAAGGAAGAACTTGCAGAAAGCCTAACAGGTTTAGATAAGAGATGCTGGCCTCCATCTTGCTTAGAAATCTACTTTAAGCAAATGTTTCTTGACATCCCTCATCACCACAAGGTCATATTTTGAAGGAATATATCAGGACACCAAAGTAGCCTTAATGAAGTGTGCCAGTGTCAGTAACAAACATCTTTAAGTATCCATCGGGGAAAATTTGTCTTGAACTTCTTCATACTAAATAAGGGTCCATCTGAATTCTTGCTGGTAAGAAATTTATGCCCAAGAAATTATAGAAGCATGTCCATTGAGCAACGTGCAGAGTGGGTACATTCCTTAAGGCTTTCAGGGATTAATTCAATAGTAGTTTTCATGTGGGCTTAGAACAGTCTGTGTCCTTTTTACAGGTCCTCTAAATATGGAGGCAGGTAGATGCAAGTCCAGACTTCACTGACAAGAGATGAAGAGTGAATAAATTTGTGTTTTATATTTTAATGAAATGGAGTTTTCTTATGCTAATTTGAAGCATCTTAAAAGAGTTTAAATAGTGTTTCTGTATTGTTCTTTTAAATATTGTCAATTAAGATTTAAGTATTGTTCTTTTAAATATTGTCAATTAAGTACCACTCTCATCAAAATTCATTCTGGCAGTAAGATTTTATACTATTAGATTTTAATTTAAATGAGAAAATAATGTGTAGAATAGCATTTATACCATTACAAATTTCCATACTTTCGTTTACTAGAATATAAATAAAACCTATTTTAGAACTTAACTTTTTCTGATTATAAGAATAATACTTTATTGTATAGAATTTGGGAAAAATAAAAATAACAAGGAATCAAAATTATGCATAGCTATACAAAGTAAACATTGATGGTATTTTAATTTAGTTATTGCCAGTCTTTTTATAAATAATAACCAGATATAATGATCAGTGATATGATACCTCATTGGTGGTTAAATATTACCAGCTTCTTTTTCAATTGACTTCAGATGCACATGGGAAGATTACCAAAGATGTAAGAGGTAATGAGTGACGGGGTGCTCCTCTCTGTTTGAGAGCCTCACCCTTCCGATTACAGAATAAATCCCACAAATAATTTCGTGTACAGAAGACTAGAGAGGACGTGTTCATGATGGAACATTCTACTAATCATTAACGGTGACTGATTAAGCATCCATTAAGCACAAGGCACATTGCTAGAAGCTAGGGATACACAGCCCCCACTCTCAAGAACTCACAATCCGTTTGGATAAATAGGACATATGCATATACAGATAAATAACAATAGAAAATAGCTTATACTGGGTCCCAATGTGAGTGGCACACACAATGCTCATGTCAAGATTTCAGAGGAGGGAGTAATTACTGCAGGCACATTTACATCATGAAAGTAAGCATAAACTGATGGTCATGATATGTTATTCTTTAAAGGTTGATTGTATCAGAACTTTAGTATATTAAGGATGTGAATACCACCACTTGGTATGCAAAGTGATATCAGCTTTAATGATCTCAAAGCACATAATAAACATTCTCCAAATGCAGCTTCCCTCCACTATCATAAAGTAATTTTGCAAATGAAGAAAATGAAGCAAATGAGGAAAATGAGAATGCCATTCTATCAAATTGGCATCATTTTAAACGATAAAATTAAGAGATTACAAAGATCTTGATTTCTAGTTCACTGGTTCTTAGCAAACAGTTGTATACAGTCAAGAACTGTGTGTTTGAACAGGGAAAGGGCTGTGATAATTTGGTTTCAGTTAGGAAATTTGGAATAGCAACTTTAGACAAAGTTGCCTCTTTCCTTGCAGTTACGCTAAAGATAGCCCGATTTTAAAAGATCATGCAAAATCCTTACGCTGATTTTCCTTTCCAAAAACAAGCACTGTCTTGCTATGAAAAAATATATCTAAAACTAAATTGGGTTATCTAAAACTCCTTCAAATCCTAGAAAGGACTAAAGCAATCCTACACTTGAACAAATATCTTTCACATTTTGATTAGAACCTAAGGAGGGATTATTCCATCTTAATGAGACTGAAATGGTATGTAGGAAATGTATAATAAAATATGCCAAATATCTGAAGATTCCTAAAACATGTTAAATAATATGGCTACAGTGGTTCTAGAAATACATGGATAAGAGGAATGGAATTTAATTGCCATTATGTTTAGAGATCTTTTAGACTTCATTATAGAAGTTTTATATTTGAATTAAATTAAGTAAAAATAAAAAGTTATATCAAAATACACTGTTTATTTGAAGTGAATATGAATTATTTTTTGTGATAGCGATTTTGTTCATATCTGT